CGTTATTACCACATTCTTGGTAATTGCAAAAAATTGGAAACAACCTCAGTGTCCATCAGTTGGGGACTGTTTAAATGAGTGTCCGTCCATCCACACCATGGACTGCTATACAACTGGTTTGTGTGGGTTTTTTTATTTTTTGTTTTTGGCCAAGCTGCCCGGCTTGCAGATCTTAGTTGCCTGACCAGGGATTGTACCTGCGCCCTCAGCAGTGAAAGTACAGAGTCCTAACCACTGGACAACCAAGGAATTCCCACTATAAAACTGTTAAAAAGGCCAAAGCTGATCTTCTCTGAGACGCATTAATGTAAAAAGGAGGAGAGCAGGGCTTCCCTGATGGCGCAGTGGTTGGGGGTCCGCCTGCCGATGCGGGGGACGCGGGCTCGTGCCCTGGTCTGGGAAGATCCCACATGCCACGGAGCGGCTGCGCCCGTGAGCCATGGCCGCGGGGCCTGCGCGTCTGGAGCCTGTGCTCCGCGATGGGAGGGACCACAACAGTGAGAGGCCCGCGTGCCGCAAAAAAAAAAAAAAAAGCAGGAGAGCAATAATTTGTGTACGTCTTTTAAAATTCGGGGCTGGGGGAAACTTTTATCCAAATATCTCTGAAGGAAACACTGGTCACAGCTGTGGCCTCTGGAAAAGGAATCAGGGATCTGGGGATCGGCGGGGGAAGCAGTCTCATGCTCCTCTGTATACCTTTTTGTAAAGTTTGCATTTTAAAAATCATGTGCATGTATTACCCTTAAAATAATTAAAATTTGTTTTGAAAATTTTCTGAAGAGGCTGCTGTAAGGAGGGGAACAGCACACTTGAAACTCTGATCCCCCCTCAGCCAGTCCTGTTTATTATCCCCCCACCCACCTTGGAGGTGGCTTGGTGGTGCCTGATCAGGGCCTTTACTGGGAGAGGACCAACTTGGGGTGGGGGGAGGAATTGGAGCCCCCCCCCCCAAAGGAGGAGGTGAGGCTGAGGGGAGGGATGAGAGTCTAACCGCTTTGTTCCGTTGCTGGCCACCAGGGGTCACCCCAGTCTGCAGACCTGGTTGCTGCTGGCTGAGGGCCCAGAACTTGAGAGGCAGGGAAGATGGGTCTGAGACACCCTCCTCCCCCTGCAACTCTGGCGTAAATCCAGAAGTGAGCAGGAAACAGCTTCTCCTTCTGGAGTCAGCTAGGGCTGGAGACTGGCCCTGCCTTGTCTGGGGCCCCAGGGACTTCAGACCCTCACTGTGGGGTCCAGGGCTGATACACACAAAGGGCTGGGCTCAGGGCTGTAAATGGGACCTAAAATATGATCATTACTGTTCACTTATTCTGCTGGCTTCCCCTTGGCCATACCTGCCAGATCCCTGAAAATCAGCGCCGGGGACATGTGGAGCCATGGGAGGTGTGTGAGCAGGAGGGGTACTGTCAGATCTGGTTCCCCCGCCGGAACGGAGAATCCCCCAGCTGCCTTGCCTTCCAGACCCCACCTGCCTCCCTCCCCACAGGGCCAGCCCCCAGCCTGCCCTTGCTCTGTTGTGCCTCCCTGTCTCCACCTGTCCAGTTACCACTCAAAGTCTCTGTCTGTCTCTCTGCCTCCAAGTCTTTACCTCTGTGTCTCCACCTTGTCCCCAGCACACTCTCCCAGGTCCCTGCCCTGGCCTCCCCTATTCATGGTCACCCTGGGGTCCCTCCGTGGCTACAGAAACAGGAGTGTATGGGAGGGGGGGTGGAAAGGGGAAGGCTGGCACAAGCTGGGTGGAGGGCACTGGCGATAGCAGCAGCCTGACCTTGTTGGCGCCCAGTCCCAGGTAAGAAAGTGGGTCACCTTTTTTCAGGAAGGAACACGGATGCCCAGAGAGGACAGGCTCTTGACCGCCCCGCCCCCCCCCCCCCCCCCCCCCCCCGCCGCCCACAAAGGGCTCTCCTTGCCTCCTCTGTCAACTCCAAAAGCCCAAAAACTTAATTTCCTTTGCATTTAACCAAAACCCAAACACGTTGGCATAAAAGTGGAGGGTTTTCTGAACTTTGCTGAAATTTTTCTTCGCCAGAAATATCGCTTCCTCCAGAACCTTCCTGAAGTTCTGTGAGAGTTTTTAAAAACCTCGTGTCTCCTTGAGAACTTCAGTGTCGGTCTTCAGAGTGACACAGAGCTGACTTCCTCAGGACAGTCTTCCCGTCTCTGCCCAAACAATCAAATGAAACCAAATGGATTGTTTTTAATTTAGAAAACAATAATTAAAATCGAAGTCCCTCCAAAGGAATTCAGAGAGATTCACGCACAAAATTTCCTGTCACTATGACAAATGGTTTTCAGGGAAAAACCAAATGCTCACATCATTCGATGCATTTGACCTCATGTGAATTCGAAGACCAGTTGCTCACCTCCTCCCTCTGGAATTTTCTGGCCAGGAATTCAGGCAGAACGTGTTCAGAGAGTCTGTTTTTAGAAATTTTAGACTCTGCTGGCAGGAGTGTCAATGGAAACAAACTCTTTGGAGGACAAATTGATGACAGCTGTCAAAATGTAAAATGTTATTGCTTTAGGACCCAGCAATTTCACTTGTGGAGATTTGATATCAAGTCTTATTTTGTTCACTGAAACAAAAAATTTAGAAACAGTCTAAGTGCCCATTGGTAATTATTATGGTAATGTATGTGCTGAAAACCTAAACAGCGGTCAAAAGGAATCAACAATCTCAAAGTCATAATGTTGAGCAAAAAGAGGAAGTTTCATCATTACCTTTTCCATTTAAAAAAAAAATCTAGCTTTTAAAACAAATTATTGGAAAAAGAAACATTACAAAGCAAAGTTGTGAGATCAAATTGCCAAAAAGAATGTTATTTTTGAGCTTGATACAAAAGACATTAGTGTGTATGTTGAAAACTCTTGTTCTTACACTGTGGCAGTTGCTCAAAATTGTAGCACATCAGGTCTAGAGTGGCTTTTTGGTTTTCCAGGAGTTTATGGTTGCCTTTCTTTTCCCTTGACAACAGATATCATGTTCATACATACGTATATGCAACATCTTCAATATACAGTGAAAGATAGCCAAGATCTTAAGTTCATACCAAGACTGTCACAGCTCCTGGCATTGGCCTAAGCACTGCCCCCTTGCCTGAGCTCTCAACTGGACCCTTGTCACCCAGGCTCTACCCCTGTCATGCCCCCTTTCCCCTGGTGATCCCACAGGCCCAGGGCAACAACAGCTGGGACAGTGTCCCTCCCCTGTGTCTCAGTTCCCCAGCCTCACATCAGAGGCTGTGGATGATCCAACCCCACCTTAAAAAACTACCACCTTTTATTAAGGTTAACTGTGTGCCAGGCACTGTGACAAGTGTCTCACAACTGGCTTTGTTGCCTCCACTTTAGACAGGAGAAAACTGAGGCTCAAGGAGGAGAAGTCACTTGTCCCGGGTCTCACAGCGGTAGGTGGCCCAGCCAGAACTTAACTCCAGAGGCCTGCATTGAAACCATGTATTCACTCTGCCTACATGACTCCCCATTAATGCAGATGGGAGATGTCCTCCTCCCACCCTGCTCCAGGGGACTCTGGGTGGGCCTGACCAACCCAGAGAAATAGCTGGTTGGGCACCACTTGCAGCCCCCAACCCTCCTCCCTCCCAGTAGTGGCTGGGAAGGGTCCGGAATCAGGAATCAATGGGTAGCTGCAAAGGCCAAAGGTCAGACAGGGGTTTCCTGCCCATCCCTGGGAACTTCCTCCATCCCGACCCAACTCCCACCTCCTTGATGAACACCACCCTGGAGGACCCCTCCCCGCTCAACTACCCCCCACTCCACTACCCTGGCTAATAGGGGGCTGGGTCCCCATGCCACCGCCTTCAGCCTGCTGTGCCCCCCACAGGCAGTGGACAGCAACTGTGTTATCGTCACCCACCCATGGTCCAGCCTCCTTTCCATCCCCTTGCCCCGTTCCCCTCGGATCCTGTCAGCCTTGACCCCATGGGGCTAGGGGCTGTGTCCCACTCTGTCTCCCCAAGACTGAGGACCCCTCACCGCCAGGCCTGGGGCTCTTGGTGAGGCCTCTGGCATCACCCAGCATAGGGGTTTTCCCTGGAGCTCCTGAATCTGGGGGGACATGTAGGAGGGCATACCCAGAATCCTTTGCTCCTTGGTCCCGAAACCCCTTCCTTGCCCACCTGGGGGTGACCCACAGTGAAGCTTGACCCCCTCTATCTGGCGCTTCCCCTTCACCATCTCACAGAGCCCCAAGATGAGGTTTCCAGCAGGAAATGGTAGTAATAATAGCAACGGCAAATCATTTCTCCCAGCCCCCTCCCCGGCCCTGGGACCTGGTACTGTGCCCACCTCATCTCACAGAGGGGAAAACTGAGACAGGAGAAGCCCCTCACTCACGCTCACCCTGGCCCCAGGTTCACTGCTGCCTGTGTTACTAAGCGCCTCCACGAGCCGGGCATTGGGTGGGATGACAGCTAGGGGAACCCGCGCCACAACCATCCACCCATCAGCCCTCTGTGAGGCCTTCCTGTGCCAATTACTGAGCACCTACTGTGTGCCTGGCCCTCAGCTAAGCGCGCCGCACAATTTAGCTCCTGTAGTCATCACTGCCATGTAAGATGGGCACACATCTGTAGCCAGCCCTCCCTGAGGGGAGGTGAGTCCAGCTCTGTGAACGACCAGGGTGAGACACCCAGGCGGTGCTTTCTCCTCCCTTCGTCTCAGTATCCTCCTCCCCACGATGGGGATGTCGACATGAGGTCACAGGCAGGTGAGACCAGCTCTGGGCCCAAAGCAAGGGCAGGTGGGGAAAATGAGGCTCAGCAAGGCGGAGAACGCCTGGTCCCCTCGCCGGTGCCCCACCCAGCGTTAATCAGAGAGGCCCAGACGTGACACGGTGCCCTCCCCCCTTCCCTTCACAGCCCGGGTGGGAGTGTTGTGATAACCCACAGCCCCCGTTTCCTCCTGGCCAGGAAGGAGCCAGGCAGAGGAAGTATTAAGAGGAGTAATATAAACACTTCCCCCCTCCCCCCTGCCGTGGCAAGGTCTAGAAGGGGCAGAAGCCACCACCCAGAGCAGACCAGCCAGCAGAGCAGTGCCGGCGCACCGGGCAGAAGCTGGGAGGAGATGGGCTCGGCGATGGAGCACGGGGGACCCTATTCACGGGCGGGGGGCAGCCCGAGGGGCTGCTGGTACTATCTGCGCTATTTCTTCCTCTTTGTCTCGCTCATCCAATTCCTCATCATCCTGGGCCTTGTCCTCTTTATGGTCTACGGCAACGCGCACGTGAGTACCGAATCCAACCTGCAGGCCACCGAGCGCCGGGCTGACGGCCTCTACGGCCAGGTGGTGGGGCTCACAGCCTCCCAGGCCAACCTGTCCGAGAAGCTCAACCTCACCTCCCGCGCCAAGGATGCCATCATGCTGATGCTGCTAAACGCCCGCCGCGACCTGGACCGAATCAACGCCAGCTTCCGCCAGTGTCAGGCCGACCGGGTAAGTCCACAGGCTGGACACCCGTCCCGGGGAACCCCAGGCTGGTCACCTCACCTCTCTGAGTTTCACTTTCCTCGTTCATGAGACAGGGAGAGTCACGGACCCTACGTTTTGCGTGCCGAGCCCGTGTAGAGAAGCAATGCGTATTTTGTCTGTATATCTCATGCAATACTTGGGACACACTTAGACTAAAATATGATTTGTGGTCTATCTGGAGTTCAAGTTGAACTGGGCATCCGGTCTGTGGTCAGACCTAGGCCCATGGCTTAATGTGTATAAAGCGCCCAGAACGTACCAGCACACACTAGCTGCAAGATAAGAGCGGGCTTAATAAATGCTCAGAGTGTTGGATTCTTAGCAATTAGTATGAATGGTTCAGGTTTGCCTGAGGTTGGATGTCCGCTTAGGAAATATTATCTCTTCGTTGAGTCCCAGGAGGTAGGGAGAAGATTTCAAACCCTTTTGCAGAGGGGAAATGGAGGCCTAAGAAAAGAGGTGGCTTGTTGGGGGACGGGGGGGCAGCAGGGAGCAGAAATGGGCAACCCTGGGTCTCGTGGAGACTGTCATCCCCCCCCTCGTACCCCCAACTCCTGTCAAACGCACTCAGCAAGATCCCCCATGTTCTCACACATACACGATTCCTCTGAGGAGGTCCCGTTCCTGGGAACACTGAGGAGATGTTGCCTCCTCAGGCTTTGGCTGGAATGGGGTGAGAGAAGGGGTGGGCAGGGGAAGGGAAGGGTTGGGGAGAGGGGCAGGCTCTCTTTCTCCCACAGGAGGTGTCTGGGCTGTTTGGGGCAGGGGACCGTGGAAACAAAAGGCCTTTACCGGGGCTTCAGACCACCCAGCCCCTGCCACTGGGCAGCTCCCCTCAGAACTGCCCAGGCAAGGGTGAGGTCTCCCCATCTCATTCCCCCAGGACAGGGCCGGTCCCCCTTAGATCCTCAGAAAAAGGTGAGTCTCCCTCAGACCCCCAAATGAGGCAAGTCCCCCCTCAGACCACAGGGCTGGACCATGTACCCCCTCAAATGCTCCCCACTCCTGACAAGGGCAGCTCCCTCAGACTTCTCAGTTCCCGGGAACTGGCCCTTTTGAATCTTTCAGGACATGCATGGTCTTCCGGTCCAGGAGCCATTAGCAATCCCAGGATCATAAAGTTTTATTCTTTTGTTTTTTGGATTTTGTTTTTCGTTTCTGGCCACGCTGCGCTAGGATCTTAGTTCCCCCACCAGGGATGGAACCCATGCCCCATGCAGTGGAAGCGCAGGGCCTTAACCACTGGACCTCCAGGGAAATCCCTTTTTTGTTGTTGTTTTTGGTTTGGGTTTTTTTTTGTTTTTATCATAAAGTTTTAGACATTCACACGCATCTCCGAATCCTGGACGGCCCCATCGTAGAATATTAGAAATCTAAGAATCTGCCTCTTTACAACTTTAAATTTTGAAAATCGTAGCTTTCCCCCCACACACAAGTTGACAAATTCCTCTGTCCTGGAGCCCCTCAGGGTTTTCTCCAAGGACCCCCCAGGAAGCGGGCACTGATGCTGGGGAGTAGCCCCACCCCTGCCACGGCAGCCCCACATGTCTGATGGTACCAAGTATGAATTTTGATCTTTCCCCGATCCTGGTGGTGCTATGAGACGGATTTTTTTTCTTAAATTCTCTGCAAATGCAGTTGCATTTCTGGCTCTGAGACCCTGGGAGAGAAAGGGGAAATTAACTCAGTGTGGTTTTTTTAGGGTATGCCCCACTCTGCCTGGGTCAAGGAAGCACCTCCACCCAGGACGCATGCGGGAGAGATTTTTTTTGTCATGGATTTTTCTTTATCCAGCATTCGTAATAATCTTTTTGATGGTCAAATTATCCTGAAATAGGCCGTAGGAACACCCTCAATCTGGCTCCTGTGTCTTTTGGTGGAACTCCATTAGTCTTTGAGAGCTTCCTTGCTTTATGTCCTAACAAATATTCCAGAAAACCCTTCAGACTGTTTATACTTGTTCACTAATCAATTAGTTCTCTCCCTCTGAGTCCAGGGCAGCCATGGCTACAGGAAAGTGAGGGAGAGACTCCTGAATTACTTCATAAAGATGTACCTGAACACTCCTTAACAAGAGAAGATACTTTTTTTTGTATTGTCGGATTGCACTCGATCTAAGTAAATATTCTTCTCATCATCTTGACATCTGGGAACCTGTGCAGAAAGATACTTCTGTATTTTTGGGAGCTATTTCCTCCAACTGGAAGAAAACCTCTTTCGCACTTCATCTTTGGAACCAACTCGTACCCTGAGATCTTCCCTTTCTGTAGTTAAGGCTTTTGAAAACAGACGTCACTGGAGCTTCCAGAGCTATTTCTGTCCTCCCCCATGCCCAGGTCATTAGGACAGGGCCAGCTTCCAAAGGAGTAAGGACAAAAAGTGACAGAAAGGCACACCCTCTTCACCCTTCATACCTTTCCTTGTTATATTTCTGCAGAGCGTTCTGTTCCAAAGTTTTAAAGACATAAAAAACGTTATAAAGTTAAAATGTAATTCACATGCCATACAATTGGCCCATTTCAAGTGTACATAACGGGGACTTACCTGGCGGTCCAGCGGTTGTTGACTCACACTTCCACCGCAGGGGACACTGCAGGGGACACGGGTTCGATCCCTGGTCCGGGAACTAAGATCCTGCATGCCGTGCAGTGCGGCCAAAAAGAATAGTAATAATTAAGTGTCTATAATTTTTTTAAAAAAGTGTAGATGAAAGAAAAATGTGTACATAACAATGATTTTTAGTACATTCACAGAGTTGGGCAACCGTCAGCACAATTCAGTTTAGAACATTTTCATCACCTCCAAGAGAAACGCCACCAGCAGTCACTTCCCCTTCCCCCTCACCCAGCCTCTGACAAACACAAATCTGCTGTATGTTTCTATGGATTTACTTACTCTAGAGATTTCCTTTAAATGGAATCCTGCACTATATGCCCTTTTGTGTCTGGGTTCTCACCCTCAGCATGATGTTTTCAAGGTTCATCCTCATTGTAGCATGTGTCAATGCTTCATTCCTTTTGATAGTCGAATAATATTCCACTGTACGGATGGATCACGTTTTATCCATTCATCTGTGGATGAAACACTTGGGCTGTTTCTACCTTTTCGCTACTGCTGTGAATATCTGTGTGCAAGTTTTAGTGTGAACATATGCTTCCATTGCTCTTGGGTATATATACCTAGGAGTGGAATTGCTGGGTCATAGTGTAATTCTATGTTTAACTTTTAGAAAAACTTGCCAGGCTGCTTTCCACTGTGGCTCCACCATTTTTACATTCCCATCAGTACTGCCTGCGAATTCTGTCTCTCCACATCCTTACCAACACTTGCCCATTCTTGTTTTTTGTTTTATTTATAGCCATCCTAATGGTTGTGAGGTGATATCTCATCATGGTTTTCATTTGCATTTCCTGATGACTGAAGATGATGAACACCTTTTGATGTGCTGGTTGACCTTTTATATATCTTCTCTGGAGAAATGTCTATTTCTCTGGAGAAATGTTCAGATGCTTTGCCTAGTTTTCAATTGGGTTGTTTTTTATTATTAATTTCTAAGAGTTTACTTTTATATATTCTGGTTACTATTCTCATCATCAGACACACGATTTGCAAATATTTTCCCATCTATGGGTTGTTTTTTTCCCTTTCTTAATGTTGTCCTTTCATGCACAAGTTTTTAAGTCCAATTTATCTGCTTTTTCTTCTGTTGCTTGTGCTTTTGGTATCATATCTAAGAAACCGTTACCAAATCCAAAGTCATGCAGAGTTAACACCTGTTTTCTTCTCAGGAGTTTTATAGCTTAAGCCCTTACATTTAGGTCTTGGACCCATCTTGAGCTAATTTTTGTATATGGTGTGAGGTAGGGGTCCAAATTCATTCCTTAGTATGTGGCTGTCCAGTTGTGCCAGCACCATTTGTTGAAGAGAATCTTCTTTCCCATGAAACGATCTTGGCATCTGTATTATTTTGCTAGGCCTGTCTTACAGTACCACAAATCAGGTGGCTTAAATAACAGAAACTTATTTTCGCACAAGCACACGTTCAAGATGTTGGCGGAATTCTTTCCTTCCCAGGCCCATCAGGATCTGTTCCATGTCTCTCTCCTTGGCCTGTTGATGGCTGTCTTCTCTCTGTGTCTTCACATCATGTTCCCTCTGTGCATGTCTGGGTGTCCAGATTTCCTCTTACAAGGACCCACCCTAATGACTTCATCTTAACTTAACTGCCTCTTTAAAGACCCTGTCTCCAAATACATTTACGTTCTGAGGTCCTGAGAATCAGGGCTTCAACATGGGAATTTGGGGTGAGGGACACAATCCAGCCCATAACAACATTCTTGTCAAAAAAAAAAAAAAAAAAATCTGTTTTTCGGGGAATTCCCTGGCGGTCCAGTGGTTGGGACTCAGCGCTTTCACTGCTGAGGGCACAGGTTCAATCCCTGGTTGGAGAATTAAGATTCCCCCAAGCCACACAGCACAGCCAAAATCCATTATTAATTGGCCGTAAATGTTTTCAAGGTTCATTCAAGTTGTAGAATATATCAGTGCTTTGTTCCTTTTTATTGCCAAATAGTATTAATCATAACTTTTTTTTTATCTTGGTTGACTAAAATGCCTAGGGAAAGAGGTGGGGTTTTTTTTTTAATTTATTTATTTTGGCTGCGTTGGATCTTCATTGCTGCGCGTGGGCTTTTCTCTAGTTGCAGCCAGCGGGGGCTACTCTTCGTTGCAGTGTGCGGACTTCTTATTGCGGTGGCTTCTCTTGTTGTGGAGTACGGGCTGTAGGTGCACGGGCTTCAGTAGTTGTGGCACATGGGCTCAGTAGTTGTGGCTCTTGGACTCTAGAGCACAGGCTCAGTAGTTGTGGTGCACAGGCTTAGTTGCTCCACGGTATGTGGGATCTTCCCAGACCAGGAATCGAACCCATGTCCCCTGCATTGGCAGGCAGATTCTTAACCATTGCACCACCAGGGAAGTCCAGGTGGGGTTTCTTTTAACTTTGTTTTTAATTGAATGAATGGAAGATCCTTTAAATTCTATAGTGCTTTACAGTTTTCAAAAGTTTCACACACATGATTTCATACAATCCCATAATGCCCTTTCTTAAATTTCCTACCCCTATATTCCCCCTCCCCTCTTCCCTCTCCCCACTGGTAACCACTAGTTTGTTCTTTATCTGTGAGTCTGCTTCTGTTTTGTTATATTCACTAGTTTGTTGTATTTTTTAGATTCCACATATAAGTGATATCATACAATATTTGTCTTTCTCTGTCTAACTTATTTCACTTAGCATAATGCCCTCCAGGTCCATCCACGTGGCTGCAAGTGGCAAAATGTCATTCTTTTTCATGGCTGAGTAGTAGTCCATTGTCTATAATCATAACAACTTTTGAAGATCAGACCAGCATCCCCTGTAGAGAAGCCATGTCCTTGTGAACTATGCCAACACAGACCACCTGGGTGTTGGATCTGAGGCCCCAGCCCTGAGAATCTGGGCAGTGCCGGGGGCAGGGGGTCCCACAGGAGCCGGACACTGAGCTCTGTCCTGTGTCACATCCGGACAGGTGATCTACATGAACAACCAGCGATACATGGCTGCCATCATCTTGAGTGAGAAACAATGCCAAGAACAACTCAAAGAAAGTAACAAGAGCTGCGATGGTGAGTGGGTTAGGGTTAGGGTTACAATTATGGACGGTGGAGAGCAGGGTAGCTGACTCCCCACCCAGTCTCTTGGCAGCCCCCAACCTTCCTGACTCTTATGGTCCTATACCCTTAGCTTTGGCCCTCACACTGAACCAGAAAGCCAAGACACTGGAGGTGGAGCTGGCAAAGGAGAAGCTGGTATGTACCAAAGACAAGGACAGTCTGGCGTTGGGCAAGCGAGAGATGGAGGAACAGCTGGCCGAGTGCAGCAAAGCCCAGGAGCAGCAGCGGCAGGAGCGACAGCTGGCCGAGGACCGTCTGAAGAAGGTGCAGGCCCTCTGCCTCCCGCTGGACAAGGACAAGTTTGAGATCGAGCTGCGCAACCTCTGGAGGGACTCCATCATTCCGCGCTCCCTTGAAAGCCTGGGCTACAGTATGTTCCATCCCCTTGGCTCGGAACTGCCCTCCATCCGGAGAACCTGCGACCACATGCCCACCCTCATGAGCTCCAAGGTGGAGGAGCTGGCCCGGAGCTTGCGGGCTGGCATCGAGCGTGTGACCCGTGAGAACTCGGACCTCCAGCGCCAGAAGCTGGAGGCCGAACAGGGTCTGCGCGCCAGTCAGGAGGTCAAGGAGAAGGTGGAGAAGGAGGCCCAGGCCCGGGAGGCCAAGCTCCAGGCTGAATGTGCCCGGCAGACCCAGCTGGCCCTGGAGGAGAAAGCAGTGCTGCGGAAGGAGCGTGACAACCTGGCCAAGGAGTTGGAGGAGAAGAAGCAGGAGGCTGAGCAGCTCAAGATGCAGCTGGCTGTCAGCAACTCGGCCCTGGACACCTGCATCAAGGCGAAGGTGGGCCAGAGGTCCCTGGCTTCAGGTTGCATTCGGGGTGGGTCTGGAGGCCAAGCTGATGGTGATGTTGAAGTTGGGTTTGAACTTTTTTTTTTTTTTTCTTGGTGTGGAGGTTGGCTTCCCAGTCTAGGTTGGGTTACTTAGACTCACTTGAGAATTTCACTGGTTTCACTGATGTCAGGATTGAGGCAGAGCTCGGAATGGGGATCAGCATTGAGAAAAGGTGTCGGGTTAAGACTGGAGTTGGAGGTCGGGTGGCTGTCAGGTCCAGGGTTGAGTGAGGGGCAAATCTAGAATTGTGGTTGCTTTGGGGTTGGGGTGAGCTGAGACACTGAGGGTGGATTTAGGCTTGAGGCTGAGATCAGACATGGGTGACTGTGCGTCTAATGCTTTAGGACTGTGGTTATGTATTAACGTAGGGATTTTATTGGCATTAGGTTTGGGGTGGAGTTTGGATTGGGAATGACATTAAGAAAGGGTTAAGGACTGGGGTTGAGTTTAGGAAGGCAGGTGGGCCTCAAAATTGGCTTAAGTTTAGGATTAGGGACTCATCCAGTGTCGGTGTCAGGGTTGGGATGGGTTTGAGTTGAGTTGAAGGATCAGGGGGCACCAGGTTAAGGACTGGAAGTGATACTGGGGTTAGGGTGAGGGTTAAGGCAGGTCTAGAGAAAGGCTTCACGTGGACTGTAAATTTGTGGTTAGAGTTGGGTCAAGGTGGGTTCTTGGTGACTCCTGTGTCTAGAGTTGATTTGGGTTAAGGTTAGGGTTCCACGTAAGATTTCATTAGTCTTAGAATTAGGTTGAGTTTGGAGTTTGGATTGTGAGGAAAGGTTAAAAGTTGGGTCAGGGGTCACATGCAGGGTGGCTCTTGGATCAAGGATTTGGGGAAGAGCGAATCTAGGGTTTCAGTGGGTTTGGGATTGCATTAAGTTGAGGCTGGAATTGAAGCTTAGGCGGGTGTAGGTGGTTGGTGGGCCTAGAGACGATTAGAAGTTTGGGGCCAAGGGCGGATTCAGAACTTCATGGGCATTAAGATTGGAATTGGCATTGACCGTGGGCTAGGAATTGAGATTGGGCTGCATTTAGGGTGGCTGGTGTGAGGATATATTTGACGTGAAGGATTAGGTGAGCCTGGGCTTCGAGTGCAGGTCAAGACTGGGTCTAGAGTAGAAGCCGGGTGGACGTTGATCTTGGGCTGAGGCTGGGCTGGGGTTCTAACTCAGGTAGAGGCTGAGGTCTGAGGTTGAGCTGGGGTTGAGCGTGGTATTGGGAAGGTATTTATGGGTGGCTGTAGTGGAGTGCCGGGCTGGCGCTGAGGGAATGGGGGTGGGGGGTAGATTTTTCATAGCGGCTGGGTCTAGGGGATGGGCTATGGTCAGAGTTAGATGTAAAGTTATGATCAGATCAGGTTTGTCATTGGGACTGGGTTAAGGTCAGGCTTTGATTCTAAGGGAGGTTCTGGTTTCAGGTTGGGATCTGATTTTAGGTGACTGAGTTCAGAACTGGTTTTGGATTTCAGGTTTGGAAGGATCCTCTCGGGGTCCTTCAAGGGATGGCATTGAGGATCGAGGGCCAGTTGGTTTACAGAGTGGGTCAGCTTCAGTCTGGAGCGGGGCTGGGTTGGGTGGATGGACTCCAATGGGGTCTTGAATTGGAGTCAGGCTGGCACCAAGGCTGTAATGGAGACCGTGGCAGGACCCCTGCAGAGTGGGGCCTCCGGGGGCTGCCAAGGGAAGCCGGTCCCTGCAGTCCCCGATCATTTGAAGGCAGGTGTCTACAGGTGATTATATATCCATCATCACGTGTCCTTCTCCATGGGTATCTGTCTGTTTTCTCTGCCCTGGAAGGAACTCAGGTCTCCAAGGGTGTGGAGAGGCAGGAAACTCCCTGGGACTCGTGTTTGGGATCCCTGGCCTCCACCAACCTCCTTTCACCCTTCTTCCCACAGTTGCAGTCAATACCAGTGCCAAGACCTGCAGGCCCTGCCCCCAATCCCCCGCCCATTGGTGAGTGACAGAGGGCAGAGCCAGGAGAGGGGGGCGGATTCCACCTTGGATCCTGGGTTGCCAGCCCATTCCCTGACGCTGGGGGGATGGTTACTAAGGCATTAGGTTGGGGCTGACCCCTCCCTCTCTTGGCAGACCCAGCTGGGCTGGAGGAATTCAAGAGGAGGATCCTGGAGTCCCAGCGACCCCCTGCCAGCAGTGTCTTAGCATCAGCTAGGTGAGGCTCTGGACAGGCTGAGACAGTTCAGTCTCAGGCTTTGGATGAGGCTGGGTACAGGACTAGGGGTGGAGGGAGGCTCGTATCACACTTGTTGCTTCCTTAATCGGGCACTTGCTGTATACCAGGCCCTATGCTGGACCCAGGGGATACAGCAGTGACCAAGACACACACAGTTCCATTCATGAAACTCCCGAGTAGTGGGCCAAAGAGACAATGAAGGAGGCAGGGTAAGAAGAGTGACCAAGAACCTGCCACGATCGGATGCTTACTGTGATCTTGGCACAGTCCTAAGCTCTCTGCCCAATTAACTCATTTAATCCTCAGAATCCTAATCCGTGGGTGAGCTACTGTTATCCCCACTTTCTGGATGAAGCAAATGAGGCACAGAGAGGGTGTGCATCGTGCCCCAGGTAACACAGCCAGAGCTGGGACATGAACCTAGGCGATCAGACTCCAGACAGGAAAGGGAGGGCCTGGATGAGGAAGGGACCTTTGAGCTGGAGGCTAGACAAGAGCTGGCCTGCGGGAAGGCAAGGGGAACAGTGCTCCAGGTGGCAAGAACAGCCAGGGCAAAGGCCCTGTGGACGGACTAGGGTGGCAGAAGTGAACAGAGCCGAGGAAGGGGAAGAGGGACAGCAATGTCCGAGAGTGACCCTGGGCCTCTCACTCCACCCTTCTGAGCCGCACTTTCTACTTCTATAAACATGAGGGTCTCTGGGCTTCCCTGGTGGCGCAGTGGTTGAGAGCCCGCCTGACGATGCAGGGGACGCGAGTTCATGCCCCGGTCCGGGAAGATCCCACATGCCGCGGAACGGGTGGGCCCGTGAGCCATGGCCGCTGAGCCTGCGCGTCCCGAGCCTGTGCTCCGCAACGGGAGAGGCCACAACAGTGAGAGGCCCACATACTGCAAAAAAAAAAAAAAAAAAGGGGGGTATCTGAAATCAAAGGCATGCAAATGCTCTGCCAGCCCTCAAGTGCTGTCCACACATGGCTGGAGGAGCAAGGAACCCAGGGCCTCAGTGGGGAGCATCAAGGGTGCCTGGCACATGTTCAGGTGATGGCTCCATGCCTTTGACCCCCTCACTGCCTCCCAGGGCCTGGTCATCTCTTGGACGACACCCTGTGCGTCACGGGGAAGGTGACTCAGACCACAGCTCCAAGAACACCCTGTGCTCCCTCCAGGGTCACTCTTACACCCCCCCCAACCCCCCACCCCCTACCCTGTTCAGGACCACACTGCTGACCTAGGATGGGCAGCCCATTTGTAGTTTAGGACCTGAGGTTTGAGGAGGTATGTGGGATTTTTGTCAGACCCCTCTGATCCCAAAGCCTGTGGCATCAACAGTTTTGCCACCAGGCTACTGTGAAGCTAGGTCTATTTCAGCCCCAGCATGCTAAACAAAGCCCTTGGGGCCAAAAAGATTTCCAAACGTCTGTCATTAACTCCCCACGGTCCTCCGCACCCAGCTCCATCTTCACTATGCCTCTTCTTACATACTTCCTCTGACGGGGAGCTCACTCCCTTACGGAACTGGGTCCCCTCGCTCTGGATAGCTCTGCCTGGGAGAAATCCCTCAGCCTCGGGCAGCCTGCAGAGAGGGAAGCAAGGGGGTAGGGAGAAGACCCTGCTCTGAGCAAACAGTTTTCCTCTCTCCATCTTGGCCTGAAGCCATCATGGCAAGGAAGGAGGTTCTATTATTATCCCCATTTCTCAGAGGAGGGAACTGAGGCCCCAGGGAAGTGATCAGCCCGGGGTCATGCGTCAGCAAGTCAGGGCTGGAGCCAGGCTCCCAGTCCAAGCCTGTCCCGGTCGCAGCTGAGGATGGGGAAGCTCTTGACATTGTTTACCCCAAATGACGTCCCCCCCCCCCCGCCCACCGCCACGGAGGAAACAATGTGTACTTAAGCCTGTGCCCCTCCTGCTTCTCTCTGCAGTGTCACAGGAAGGGCTTCTGGTCCATGGGCTCCCGCCTTGATTTGCCTTCCTCTGAGAGAGGGGCCGGGCATGAGCAGGCTGGGGTCTTCGGCTCCGGTTTTGAGCCCCAGCTCGGCCAGGCACTCAGTGGACAGCCAGTGAGTGACTGAATCGTAACGTCCAAATTTTATATGCACCCAACAGGGGACCAGATCCAAGGCCCCGCATCAAATCACCCACCCCATGATGGGGACTGTTGATTCCTTTTCCACTCATTCCTTCCGGGCCTCGAGAAAGTCTGCGCTGCTGTTAACTCACCCTAATGCCTCCCAGACCCTTGCAGTTCTCCCATAGTCACAGAGGGAGGGCAGACCCAGGCTCCGGCGTCAGCTGCACTTGAGAACATGGTCTTGCTTTTTCATTGAACATTTTTAAGTGGTTTTCTATTAATGGCAAATGCACCAGCTTTCCTTTACTTGGTAAGACTGAGTATCCTTTGGAGATCACTTTATTTAAATTAAAAAAACACAACACAGTGGAGGTGAAGACAAATATTAAGTGCATATTGGTGTAGCGGCTACGTGGCTGGAGATGGCACAAGTCACAATGTGGAAGGTTGAAGATGGGAGCTCAGCCCTCGCTCTGAGCCGAGCACACAGTGAGTGTCGATTCAAGTTCACTGCCATCACTATGACCGTTTGTTTTTTCATTCAACCCATATTTCTTGAGCAGCTGCTGGGTGCTGAGGACACAGGGAGGAATAAGGCACAGAAATCCAAATCCCCACCCTCGAGCGGCTGACAGTCTAGTGGGGGAGGTGGATGACAAACCAGATGAGGGAGCCATGATAGGGACCCTTGGTGATGAGTGAAACAGAAAAGGGATGAGGGAGCTTGAGGAGGTTGGAATTTTCCGCGGGGGTGGGGTGGGGGCGGGGCCAGGGCAGGCTTCACTGAGGAGGTGACATTTGAGCAGAGAACTAAAGAAGATGAGGGAGGAGCCATGAGGGGATTCTCAGAAGGGTGCACCAGGCAGTGAGCACAGCCCGTGCAAAGGCCCTGAGGCAGGACCATCCATGCCCGGTGAGTTTGAGTGAGGCAGCTGGTGTGGCTGGAGCTGAGTGATCGAGGGGAGAGTGGGAGGAGGTGAGGTCAGGATAAATCAGGCAGGGCCTTGGGGCTGCAGTGAGGACTTTGGGAGCCCTGGGAAGGCTGTGAACAGCAGAGGATGTGACCCGACTCAGGTGTTCACAGGCTCATTCTGGTCGCTGTTGTGGAGGGTGAAGGTGGGAACCTGAGACAGGGGTGAAGGCGACTGTGCTGGTCCAGATGAGCGATGGGGTTTAGGAGCCCCAGTCTCTGAAAATGGCCAGGGATGACCCTCCCTTGCAGGCTGGTGAGCAGGAGTAGTTAAAGGATGTCTGTCGGGGCTGCCGTGGAGCCTGTGAATCCTGGTAGAGGACAGAGCCTGGAGCTGGGAAGGGGGGCACCAGAGCCAGCCAAGGAACGTGAGGCTGCGGGGGCCCCAGGGAAGAGCCAGGGAAGGAAGGGAGGGGGCCAGCGGAAGCAGGACTTGGCAGAGGCCCCCACCTCCCCCATCAGGAAACAGCCTCTGAGCCAACCTCTGACCCCTCGTGAGAACCTTTGGCAGGCCCGGGAGGGGGAGGGCATCCCAGACAGCGGGATGGCTCCTGCAAAGGCAAGGGGGAGGGGCGGAAGTGAAGTGATGGCTCTGAGAATTTGGGGGGTACTTTGTCAGGTTTTGATTCCCCAGTGGGGAGGCCTGGTGGGGGCATAGTGGGTGGAGCCTTGAATGCCAGATACAGAAGATCTGGCTTTGTCCCAAGGGCGCTGGGGAGCCATGGGAGCATGTGAGTAGGGGCAGGCTCATTAGAAAAACCTTCCTGGGAATGAGTGAGGGGCCAGGTCTAGGTCAGTTCTGTGTAGACCAAACGGGAAACTGAGGCCCTGCCTGGGGGCCGGGGGGCCGGGGACTTTGGGCAAACACCCAGGATCCCCAGGGCCTTAGGGAGCAAAGGGGAGAGAGTCAGACAGACTGCAACAGAGGCCTGGAGCGCAGGAGGCGGCCCCTCTGAACCTCAGTCTATATAATGGATAGGCACACATCTCAGTCCCACCTGTCCCCCAGAGGTTCAACAAGGCGAAATCTAAGGGCAGGTTGAAACCAGCAGGAGCCCTAGGGTTCTTGGGAACAAGAAGGGGCCCAGGGGAAGAGGCAGGCCCAGGCGAGGTTTGTCCTGCCGTCTGTCTGTCTGACTGACTATTGTATTCCCATCTCCTTCCTGCCCCAGTGGCTGAGGAGGCTGTAGGCCCCGAGGAACGAGGGGTGGCCCCGACTCACCGGTCTGGAGACTAGGTGCAGCGAGACGCCCACGGCGAGGGACACAGCCAGGGTGGAGTCAGATAACGCACACACGACAAAGGGGGCGCCCTTGGCCTGCGTCCTCTGCTCATCCTCCGCCACACCGCACCCACACCCCCTAACACTCTCTCCGCACCACACAATCCCTCACCCCCTAGATGCCGGGACGACGTCACAGATGCAGTGACATCAATCACACAGACATGGTGGTGACGTCACACAGAGACAAGGCAATGACATCACAGAGATACACGGCGCCATCACACACGCACTTTCTGCCCAGCCCTTGCCCAGAATCACATCCCTTTGTGCACGCGGGTCAAGGCACCCACAGCATCCCACACTCAGCTGGAGCATCTTAGCGCTCTAGGTCTGGGGGAGTGAGAACAGGAAGACATTCACCTTCGTCCTCCCCTGAGAGTTTCCAGGCCCCTGAGAGAGGGAGCATCTGGTCCAGGGGACCCCTCAGAGCCCACGAGGGTGCTGCCCCTTCACTCTCTCTCCCCTCCATATCCAGCCCTGCCTGTGACCCATATAAATGTTAGTGGCACTAAATAAATGTTATCAAATCCCTTCAAAGACTCCAGAGTCATGATTTCTGCTTTGAAAAGGTACCATCAGGCTCTGAGTGAGAAAAAAAAACTAGGAATAAGATGAAAGCTGAAGAATCCCATCGCCAGCGTCCCCAGGTCAGAAGACCCTTCAACCCGGAGCAAACGTGAGTAGACACCAGCTTCCCCCAAGCGGTAGGCATCTCCATATGTGAAGAGAAATGGCAAAATCATAGTCAATAAGGGTTTCATGAAATGCCTACAAAACCCCACATTGTGACAGCATTGTTGTCAATTTAGTGTTTGTTTAAAATAGCAGCTTTTTTTCCTATTTTTTTAAAAAGCATATATTTAAAAAGCAGTTTCTTAAATAAATACAAATAAAAAGCGGTTTCTGAAAAAGCAGATTATCTATTTGTAGCTTTTGTTTTTGCTAGGTTTGCAGAGATTCCCCCAGGTACAGACAACAATTACTGAGGTACCACAGCCTGTTTTGCAGTAACTCCTCCTCACCAAAATGATTCCAGAACAATATCACAAAAGTCCCAGGCATTTGTTTTGTTTGAGGTTTTTTGGTGGGAAGATGGGATGTTAGAAAGGGCACCAGTGTCCAATTAGGGAGCACTTCAAATGACTGATCACTAAATTAGCAGGAAGCCGGGGAAATTTTGCACATTAGAGGAACACAGGGACATCACAACATACCCAACAGACTGGGGAAAAAAGTGTTAAAAAGCTATAATACCGACTGCTGGTGAAGATGTAGAGAAAAGGGCATTTTCCTACGGGACTGGTAGAAATGCACATCTCATCCTGGCCCTTCTGGAATTAGTTTGATGATATTTAATAAAAATGAAGACAGGGAATTCCCTGGTAGTCCAGTGGGTAGGACTCTGCCCTTTCACTGACCAGAGCCCGGGTTCAATCCCTGGTCGGGCAACTAAGATCCCGCAAGCTGTGTGGCGTGACCAAAAAAAGAAAAGTGAAGACATACAAATCCTTCGGCTCAGCAATCCCATTCCTGGGACTTTATCCCCGAGAAGTGAAAACTCCAGGAAACAAAGCAAATGGCCATTGGTGGTAAATGGCCTAAAAATTGTGGTCAAGGGCTTCCCTGGTGGCGCAGTGGTTGAGAGTCCGCCTGCCGATGCAGGGGACACGGGTTCGTGCCCCGGTCCGGGAAGATCCCACATGCCGCGGAGCGGCTGGGCCTGTGAGCCATGGCCGCTGGGCCTGCGCGTCCGGAGCCTGTGCTCCGCAACGGGAGAGGCCACAGCAGTGAGAGGCCCGCGTATCGCAAAAAAAAAAAAAAAAAAAAATTGTGGTCTAGAATCTCAGCTTGTCTGTCTCTCCACTTTGATTCCCTCCCAGCCCATCCCCTGGGACCTTGGACAGGGAGGGGATGAATCACGAGGAGCCGAGGCTGGCAACGCCACGCTTAGGGCAGGCTAGTCAGGAGGGACAAAGGAGCGATATTTCCTGGATACAGGAACCCGGGCGAGAGACGGGCTGCTGCAGGAAACACTCGGCTGGGGCCCCGCCAAGCGAGGGCAGGAGGGTCAGCCAGGCCTGGCCGCCCAGACGGGCCAGTCTGGAGGCCCCAAGGAAGCAGGGACGTCCCTGACCCTGAGCCTACTGCCTGAGCAGCCTGGAGTCCTGGGGAGGATGCCGACAGCAGCCAACCCCAAGCAACCGTGGGACACCTGAGTTTGGCTTCCAGACTCTGACATTCCTGCATTCAAATCTTGGCTCAGTCCATCTCAGCCTCCATTTACTCACCTAGAAATAAGTGTAATAATAATCACCCTAGGGGCCTCCCTGGCCGTCCAGTGGTTAAGATGACGTGCTTCCACTGCAGCGGGCAAGGGTGCGATCTCTCATCAGGGAACTAAGATCCCGCAAGCAGTGCGGTGCGTCCAGAATCGTCATCATCCTCCTCCTTAACTCTCTGGACCCATGGGCGCAGGTCTCTGATTCTTGGTTGGTCTCTCCCATTCAGAGCATCCCAATATCATCCTTCTAATCAGCCCCCACACCCGATCTATTCGTCATGGGATCTGACCATGTGCCTCTCCCGCTCACATACCCTCCATGGCTCCTCATTACCCTGGGAACAAAGCCCAGTTCCTCAGCTCTCTTGTGCCCTCCCTCCTCACACACAGTGCCGCCTTTGCCTCCAGCTGTCCTGGACCTTTGACTCTTTGACTACTCAGTGACTTTTGTGTTGTGCCCTCAGACTAGAATGCCTTTTTCTTGCCTGCAAATTCTTCTTCCCCCAAGGCCCAGCCCTAGAGATCTCTCCTCTAGGCAGCCCCCCTAGATGCTCCAGGCATAGTTCTTGCTCCCTCTGGGTACCTCTTGGGCCCCATCCTTCCCTCTTCCCAGCCCTGACCCTGTAGCTCTGACTTCTCCAGGCTGGTGTCCTCCCCATCTCCACCCCCGCCCCGCGGGGAGTCAGGTAGGGGTTGAGTACCAGTCAGGGAGTAATTGGCAGACCCTGTGGTCCAGCCGCTGGGTGAGGTTCTGACTCTTTGGGGATTTCCTGTGACCTCTATAAATAACCCCCATGGCTGCTTCCCACAAACCGCCTCTCCCTTCTTGGAAAAAAGGGACCGTAGCCAAGGACCTCAGTCCAGCTGTGTGCCAGGGCCCAGGCATCCTTCCCCAAAAGCATCTCCCCCACCCAGACCCCACTCACCCCTCCTGGGAGCCCTCCAGGCCCTGCCCACACAGAGGACATCTGGGCACCCACCTCTTCTAGACCCAGATTTTTGCTTCTTCTTGTCTTTCTGCAAAATGGACATAATAGTAATATCCATGCACTAAACTCATGGAGTGACCCTTTCCCTCCAGAAGCCTTTCATGGTGGGGGTTGGGGGGCAGCAGCTGTCGAACAAGCAGACAAATCAACAGACTGTGACATATTGCAATGAAGTCATGAAGAAACGGGGTCGGAGGTCCCTTTAGTTGGGTGGTAGGCCCTGGACACCTCCCAGCCTCTGCTCACGTGTCCCCTGAAACCGAGTTTGTATCTTCAACTACTGGAGGTGATTTTTTTCTGATTCTGGAAAAGATCCTGACCCTATTTGAGACTCCATGTCCACCTCTGGCAAAAGGGGAGTTAACCGTTCATATGCCACCAGGTGGGTGTGGAAGCCTAAGGTCCCGGAGCTTCCCTGGAGGACTGCCAGGCACCTTCTTTGTTAGAGCAAAGCGCCCTCTGCTGGTTCATCACCACCACGTCAGGTCACCCATAAGCCTTGGAATCAAAGGCCTCGCTATCAGGATCTTCCTCTCCTCCTGGATCTCTTCTCCCTCCTCTCTAGCCCTCATCACTCTACTTCCAGCCACACTAGCCACCTTGCTGTCCCTCGAACACACCGTGATGCTCCCACCTCAGGGCCTTTGCACGTGCCGTGCCCTCCGCCTGGGATGCTCCTGCTAGCCTCTCCCATCTGGTTTCCTTCTTCTCACCTTTCAGACGTCGGTGCAGACGCCACCTCTGCAGGGCAGCCTGCCCTTATGTCCACCCCTGACCAGGTCAGGCTTCCTCATTGTAAGTTTGCCCAGCAGCCATCAGGCCTCACCGAAAGGAACTGTGTCTCTTCTTTAACAAGGGCAGGATTTATGTCTGCTTATTCCCCTCAATGATCCCAGCCCCCTACACACGGCCTGTTGCCCAGAAGGCCTGCAGTGAACTCAAATTGAACTTGAACAGACCTATGTGCAAATCCCAAAGCTGGGGACCTCCAGCAACTAACTACTTCTCTGAACCTGTTTCCTCACCTATAAAACTGTAACAAAATACCCACTGCATTGTGCTGTTATGAAGATCCCATCAAAAGATGTGTACGGTTCTAACACATAGTAGGTGCTGGATAAATATTCACTGAATGAATGACTAAGCATGAAAAGCAAGTAGATAAAAGAAGATAAAAGAAGCAAAGTTTCGGGACTTCCCAGGCAGTCCGGTGGTTAAGACTCCGTGCTTCCAATGCAGGGGGCGCGGGTTCGATCCCTGGTCGGGGAACTAAGACCCCACATGCCATGTGGTACGGCCAAAAAGAAAATAAATACATACATAAATAAATAAATAAAAATTAAGGGCTTCCCTGGTGGCGCAGTGGTTAAGAATCCGCCTGCCAATGCAGGGGACACGGGTTCAAGCCCCACTCTGGGAAGAACCCACATGCCGCGGAGCAACTAAGCCCATGCGCCACAACTACTGAGCCTGTGCTCTAGAGCCTGCGCACCACAACTACTGAAGCCCGCGCGCCTAGAGCCCATGCTCCACAACAAGAGAAGCCACCACGATGAGAAGCCCGTGCACCACAACGAAGAGTAGCCCCTGCTTGCCGCAACTAGAGAAAGCCTGCATGCAGCAACGAAGACCCAATGTAGCCAAAAATATAAATAAATAAACTTATAAAAGAATAAAATAAAAATTAAAAAAAAGAAGCAAAGTTGCAAGATTAATACTACAAAAAGGAATGACAGCTTGCAGAGCAATAAACACCAATTTGTGTACAAAATACAAGATACAGCATACTTTATAGGTGCAGTCCCAAGTATGCAAACATGAAGAGAAAGTTCTGGAACTATACAAGTTAAGCTGTGACCCCAGGGAGGGGGCGTTTAAATGTTTCCGGATCACCTGAGTTTTTTATATTCCTTTGGTATTTGCAAAATAAGTTAAAAACTATGAAACAAAGACCCCTGAGACCCTCTGACCTCCATCCCAACCCTCCACTCCTAGTCCCCCAGCATCAAGTGCCAAAAGAGACCTCCATTCAGCCCCACTCCTGGGCCTGAACCCCCAGCAAGTCCCTGCTAGGGAATCTGGACAGCTGTGGCTTGGTCACAACCAGCCACAGAGGCTTCACCGTTTGGGGTCAAGTTCTTCCCCTAGGGGCTGAGACTCCCACTTGGCCTAAGCTGTTCCCAGATGCCTCAAGGCTTCTGGGTGTCCACCCAGCCTGGGTCTGAGCTTTGGCCGCCCCCTCACTTGCCCACGCAGAAGTCTTGGAAGATGATATCCAGGATCTCCTCGGTGCCCCCTCCGCCGGTGATGCGGGTCAGGTGCCCTCGGGCGACCCGAAGTGCTTCGGCCGCCAGGGCTAAGTCTTTCGCCTGCTTGTAGTGGCCAAGGGCATCCAGGCAGCCCTGGAGGTGATGCTGGTGCCTCGCCCGTGTCAGAAGTGGTGGGCCTGTGGATGGGTCCCCACACCTGGAAGGGACAAAGGATGGGGTCTCTCTCAACATTCAAAGGGGTGAGAGATAATCATACCCATTTTTTAGATACAAAAACTGAGCTGGCAGGGTAGGTTCGTGCCCAAAGCCAGTGGCTCAGACCCTGAACTTGGACAGAGGGAGGCTGCCCAGCGGGCAAGGGGGGCTCACAATGCAGCCAGCTCCTTCCTCAGCGCTTCCAGGAGGCCATCCAGCCCCTCGCCAGTCAGGCAGGACAGCAACAGGTAAGGGGGCAGGTCAGCACTGGGATCTGGGCCCCCAGCTGGCAGCAGGTCCGACTTATTCAGCACCAGCAGGAGGCGCTGGCTGCACCCATTTGGGCTCCCGGCTCCCGCAGGGATGACAACGGTGTCCAGGAAGTTGCAGCTGGACGGAGAGGCCAGGTCAGAAGCATCCAGCACGGCCAGGATGAGGTCAGCCTGCTCCAGCCTGGGGAAGCGGGAAAACGGAGCGTGGACCTCAGAGTTGAGCAATTAGGAGCACTGGGCAGGGGCAGAGGCCGAACCTAAAAAGCTGCCCTCCCCAGATAGCTGGGTCCCCACTTAATGGGGCTTAGTAGCCTTTCCTCATTAAGGAAGAATGAAAAATAAATGCAACCGGTTGAAACAGCAGAGGAAGGGCCCCGTTTCCCCCTCCCACCGCCCTGCCTGCCCACCTTTTTTGGGCGCGCCGCACGCCCTCCTGCTCCACAGGCCCCACGCCCTCCCGCAACCCCGCCGTGTCGCTCAGCAGCGCCGGGAACCCGGCCAGGTCCACGGGGGTCTCCAGCACATCTCGGGTGGTCCCAGGCTCCGGGGATACGATGGACACAGGCTTCCGGCCTGGGGGTGGGGTCAGAGAAAGGGGGAGGAATGGAGATGAGGGAGCCCCTCCCCCAAGACTCCACCCCCACCCACCCCCACCCCCGGGCTGGACCTTTTCCACTGCCTTGGCCTCTCCCGTTGCAGAGCACAGGCTCCGGACGCGCAGGCTCAGCGGCCATGGCTCACGGGCCCAGCCGCTCCGCGGCATGTGGCATCCTCCCGGACCGGGGCACGAACCCGCGTCCCCTGCATCGGCCACTCTCAACCACTGCGCCACCAGGGAAGCCCCGGGCTGGACCTTTTCTTCGACCTCCCTGGCCCCTTCCCCATCCCTGAAAGCTCGGTAGCCACCCACCCCCACCCCGCCCGCTCCTAGCCCCCTGCCCTGGGCCCCGCCCCCTGACCACGCACTGAGCAGGTTCACTAGGCTGCTCTTGCCGGCGTTGGGAGGTCCCGCAACCACTACATGAGCCCCTGAGCGGAGCCTCTGTCCGCGCCTGGCATCTCGAAGATGTGCGCCCAGTGCCACCTCCAGCTCCCGCACTTCACTGTCAGCTGTGGATGGAGGAAAGGAGAGGGAGTAAGGAGGCCTTGGGGGGCTGAGATGCCAAATGTCCCCACCTCCCACGCCCCCGGGCAGGCAGACCCACCTCGATCCAGGACGCCCTCTTCCAGGTTGTCATCCTCACCAAAATCGATATAGGCCTCCACGTGGGCCAGAGCCTGAGGGAGGGAGGGGTGGATAGTGTGATCACACAGAAACCTACCCCTCAATATGCCCAGGTCCAGCCCGACATAAGGGGTCAGACTGGAGGCTTATAGACAGGAAGCGCTAATATAGGAGATGGTTAGGTAGGGTCTCTGAGGCAAGGTATGAGCGAATGTTGTACTTGCCTTAGTGAGGGTCTCGGCCCAGCCGCGGCAGAGATGGCTCAGCTCCCCATCTAGCTGCCTCAGGGCCTGCCGCCGCTGTGCCTCTGTTTCTGCATGGATCAGATCCGCCAGCCCCTCCACCTCGGTCAGGCTCAGCTTCCCGTGAGCGAACGCCCTCCTGGTGAACTCGCCTGCCTCCGCAGGTCGCAGCCCTGGCACACTGCCTACGGGAAGGTCCAGGGTCCTGAGCCCCCCTGGCCCCTACCTAGGCCCACCGACATAGCCATACCTCAAACCCAAGGCTGCAGACTCACCCAGGGCCTGCAAGACACCACTCACCACAGCCGGGCCTCCATGCACGTGGAACTCCGCGCAATCCTCACCCGTGAAACTCTGGGGACCTAGTATGTTGAGGAGATAGGTGTCAGGAGGATACAGCCTGGGCAACGCCTGGAAGGAGGAAGCTGGGTCATCGGAGCTACATGCAGTTCTGGATCTGGAGCCCCTCACCCGGGAACCAAAGCACCAGCGCGCGGTCCAAAGGCTCCCCAGAGCGGGGGTCGCTGAGCAGGCGTAGGCAGGCTTTGCGGGCCGGGGGTAAGTCCCGGGGGGCCGTGAGGCTCCGGAGGGCCTGGCCGCTGGCGGGGCCGCTGGTTCGGATCACCGCGATGCCGCAGCGGCCTTGGCCGGAGCTCAGCGCGAAGACAGTGGCTCCGGAACCGGGGGCCGGGGCGCCACTGCCCTGGCGCGTGCACGGTCTGGGACTGGAGAGGAGGAGAGTCAGTCAGTGCATCTGAGAAGTTCTGCCGTCAGAGTGGCAGGTGGATAGTGGGCTCGATGGTCGGGAGCTGACCCAAGTGGAAGTTCTGCGGCTAGGGGATGGACAGACTGGAGGGTCTGAGGCCGGAAGATGACTGGATTGAGATCTCTGAGAGCAGAAGTTGACCCAGATGTGGGCTCTGCGGCAGGGGGATGGACAGATTGGGGCTTGGAAGAAGGGGAAAGGTGGTTCTGCCGCAGGGAACTGCGCCCCCAGATCCCAGGGAGAGGGTTTGGGGCCCAAGTAGCGCCCTACGCTGTCACACCCCTTCCCCAGGTCGCCCCACCTGCGAGGCCCACGTGCCGCCCGGGCTACCAGGGTCCACAGCCCCCGCCACATGGATTCGCAACCAGCGACACGGCTGCTCACCCAGCCCGGGAGTCTGCAAGTCCAGGCAGGAAGCCCCGCCCACTCCGCGGCACGACTGGTAAAGCGCTCAACGATTCTCGATTACCATTGGGCCCCTTAGAAGACGTACCGCCCACCCACTGAAGATCTTCGCTTCTACTGGCTGATGCCAGGGAAAGAGGCAAGGGGCTTGCCCGCCGGGGTGCAGTGAAAGGGTGTTCCACCGGCAACATTAGACAGAATTTTTAGGATCCTAGAGCGGCCGGGATCCTAGACACCGGAAGTGAGAGGTGGAAGTAAGGACAGGGCTTGGCATAGAGCAGTGGGAATTATAGAGGCGAGTGTTTGAGTCGAAGCAAGAGCGTCTCAGTGGCGGGAGTGATGAGTTCCGGGGGACCTACGCATTGGCTCTGGGAAAATCTTGTCAAAATTTCTGGGAAGACTTCTACTTGTTTTCTCGTAACTCTACAGTTTCTCGCCCCTCCCCATCTTTCCCTCCCGCCGTACCCTCGGCCTCGGATACCCTTCTTCATTTGACAAACTCTGCCTCAGTGCCTAGCTCCAAGGTCCCCCTCCGCCAGGAAACCTCCCAAGGACCCCCAGCACAGTCTTCTTTCCCTTCTGGACTACTCTGGCCCAGGTCTGCTCCTGCAGAGTTGAGTGTCCGGTCTGTCTCTGGCTCCCCGGAAGCCAGAAAGGGGAGTCTCAAAGATTACTTTCAGGTTAACCCAGGACAGCGCCGGCTCGCGAAATAAAGCGCAGATGGTGGAATTCCAGGCACCAGATGGGCGGGGTCTCCGGGGGTGTTTTCTCGCGGCTAATTTTCTGGTTCTTGGACGGAGAGAGCGGGCAGCCCGCCTGTACTTCGGGAAGACGGGAAGAGGACACAGTTCTAATGACCTCACGCCTCGCCCTGCTCAGTTTTTTCATTTGTAAAAGACGGGCGAATGATGACATTCGCAGTCTCCGAGTTGTTCCATCTGTCAAAAGTATACATCAAACGCCTACCGTGTGACCACTAAGAATCAGTCTGGGTCCCTGCCCTCGCTGGCCTGTCAGTCTAACGGAGGAGGCTACACAGGATGGTCAGGGGGTCTGGGTGACAGGCAAAATACAGGGCACCCAGTTAAATGTAGATTTTAGATAAACAAGGAGTAACGTTTTAGTATAACTATGTCCCAGGCAATATTTGGGATATACTAAAAATTTATTCATTTATCTGAAATTCACATTTAACTAGGAGGACTGTATTTTTATTTGCTAAACTTGGTAACTCTATCGGGTCCTCCCTGAGGACGTTACATCCTGAAGGGTGCAGGGGTTAACGGGACAAAGAGGGCGTGAAGAGTGACCTAGGTAGCTAAACAGCATGTGCTAAGGTCATAAGGCAGGACCTGCATCTCAGATTCCAAACCGATGGCGAAACTAAGGCTCCGAAGCGGAGAATCCAGGCCCGGGGCGGGCGGGGACCGGGAAGAGAACGCACGTTCGGTGCGGGCGGGAACGAGCACCAGAGAGCGAGGTGGGCGGGCAAGAACGAAACCCAGAAAACAACACGGGCGGAGTCGAGAACCAGAGAAAGACGTGTCCGGGGCCGGGAAGGAGAATCGAGGTTCGGCGCGGGCGGGGACGAGAAGCAGCGCTCGGGCACGCGGGGACGGCGGCCGGCGCGGGCGGGCGCGGCCTTTGTCTCCTCCTCTGGCGCGCTCCGTGGCTGCACCCGCCCCATGAGCCCGCGGTCCCCCAGCGCCTGAGCCGCCCGCAGCCCCTGACCTGCCCTGCCCTCGCAATGGCCGAAACTGCCTCCGGCACCGGGGGCACATCCCTGGAGGGTGAGCGTGGCAAGAGGCCCCCGCCGGACGGCGAGCCTGCAGCCCCGGCGTCCGGAGTTCTGGGTATGTGTGCAGCGCCTGGATCTGACAGGGTGGCAGGTGCCTGGGGTGTTCGCGGCGGCTGTACGGGGAGGAGATTGGAGTCAGCGGTCCCGGTCTGGAGTCCAGTCGAGGGGCCCGCTCCTCCGGCACAGCGGCTGCGGCCGGGCGGGCGCGGCTGGGACGGTGCAGCGGGTGGGGGCTCCCAGCGCAGGGACACCGACACGCCCCTCCTAGAACCCCAGCCCGGGGCTGAGCCCAGTCACCCCTTGGGCTACCGGATCGCTGCCGAGCAGTGATGCGCTTGAGAGAGCCTCTCCACAGAGGCTACAGAATCGTACAGTCCTGGGTTCGAATCCCTGCTCGACTGTGTGACCTTGGGCGCGTGACTTAAATGCTCTGGGCCTCAGTTTCCTCGCCTGTGAAATGGGGGTAAGAACCGCGCCCAGCTATGAGGACGCACTGACATAATGTGGTGAGGCGCTCAGATTTGCTAGTGAGCGCCCCATCGATTGTGGTTTTGGAGGCGGAGCTGGGCCTCGAGAATGAGTAAGATTTGTAACGGAGGACCTGGGGGAAGGGCATTCCTGGAGAAGGGCCTGGCTGGTGCAAGGACGTGGAGGGAAGGAAACAACCCAAGGCCAGAGCTCGCAGGGCCTTGAATGCCAAGCTGAGAGCCGAGGAGCCCTGGCAAGTGTGTGATCGGGGGCAAGGGCTGGAGGGACCAAGACTGGAGGCCAGGGTTCTGATCCGGGAATGGTCTGACCCCAGCCTGCCCTGCCTGCTCCCCAGATAAGCTTTTTGGGAAGCGGCTCCTGCAGGTGGGTCGGTACCTGGTGTCCCACAAGGCATGGATGAAGACGGTGCCCACAGAGAACTGCGACGTGTTGATGACCTTCCCAGGTACCTGTGTCCATCCCCCCAGGGTCCAGAGTGAGCTCCCTTGAGCTGGGCTCCCCTGAGTAGGAGTCTGCAGGAGGCCTTAGACCACCCGTGGCAAGAGCTATCGGTCCCTGTGCCCCTTGGCAGACACGACCGATGACCACACGCTGCTATGGCTGCTGAACCACATCCGCGTGGGCATCCCCGAGCTCATCGTGCAAGTCCGCCACCATCGCCACACGCGTGCCTACGCCTTCTTCGTCACCGCCACGTATGAGAGGCGAGTCCCTGTCCCTGGCCTCTCGCTGACCCTGCTACTCAGGTCCCCGCCCTTCCAAGCACCAACTGCGAGGTCCAGCCACCCCGCATTTGTCCCTGACGGCCACCAGGTACACCATCCCTAGTTCCAGGATGGTGAGCCAGGGTCTCCCCTTGATCCCACCTCCCCTGCCCTTCCTGCAGCCTACTCAGAGGGGCCGACGAGCTGGGTCTGCGCAAAGCAGTGAAGACTGAGTTTGGCGGGGGCACCCGCGGCTTCTCCTGCGAGGAGGACTTCATCTACGAGAATGTGGAGAGTGAGCTGCGCTTCTTCACCTCCCAGGTGCGGCCGGCTCTGGCCCCCAGCGCACATTCCTAGCCCGTGGGCGGCTGCTCCCTGTGCTCACGCCCTGTCCCCTGCAGGAGCGCCAGAGCATCATCCGCTTCTGGCTGCAGAACCTCCGTGCCAAGCAGGGAGAGGCACTGCACAATGTGCGCTTTCTGGAGGACCAGCCAATCAGTGAGTGAGGCGGTCCCAACCTTCCAATCATATGTGGGGAGTTGGCTGGGGCTCTTAGAGGACAGCTATCAAAGTAGGAGGGTTAGGAAGGTGAGGCCTAGATGCAACCAATCAGGGACTACTGAAGAGTTGGGCGGGGCCTGGAGATCAATCAATGAGCTGAAGGGGTGTGGCCTCAGCAAAGGGGTGGGGCTTGTCCCCTCGGAGGCAGGTCCGGGAGAAATCCTTCTCTCTGGGTCTGGAATAAGGTAGGGGCAGGACCATGGACAGCACTCCGCGTACTGTGTGGTGCAGCCCTGGGCCTCAGTTTCCCCTCCAGGAAACGAGCCGCTGCAAATTCACCTTCTAATGCCAGCTTTGCACCATTCCTCAGACATCTGGAGCAATGAGCTGAGGCCAAATAGCTCTATTTAAAAAAGTGGTTCAGGGCTTCCCTGGTGGCGCAGTGGTTGAGAGTCCGCCTGCCGATGCAGGGCACACGGGTTCGTGCCCCGGTCCGGGAAGATCCCACATGCCGCGGAGCGGCTAGGCCCGTGAGCCATGGCCTCTGAGCCTGCGCGTCCGGAGCCTGTGCTCCGCAATGGGAGAGGCCACAACAGTGAGAGGCCCACGTACCGCAAAAAAAAAAAAAAAAAAAAAAGTGGTTCAGGGAAATTCCCTGGTGGTCCAGTGGTTAGGACTCCACACTTCCACTGCAGGGAGCCCGGGTTCGATCCCTGGTCGGGGAACTAAGATCCCGCAAGCCGTGCGGTGTGGCCAAAAAAAAAAAAAAAAAGTGATTCCCCACTGGGATCCCACCTTCTCAGGTTTCCTGCACCCTTCCCCTCCTGCCCCTGCACCTCCCAAATTTTGAGGAAGAACCGGATATTCCTTCCACTAAGAACTCCTCTCCTGGGAAGAGCCTCTGCGAGTTTAAGAGCAGGCAAAAAGCTATGACTTGGGTTTCAGCCGAGGGGGGCTGGCCAGGCCCAGCACAGGCAGAAGGGTTCTTGTCCCCCAACAGTCCCTGAACTGGCGGCCCGCGGGATCATCCAGCAGGTGTTCCCAGTCCACGAGCAGCGCATCCTGAACCGCCTCATGAAGTCATGGGTGCAGGCTGTGTGTGAAAACCAGCCTCTAGGTGTGGTCCGGCCAGGGGGTGGGGGTGGGGTCCCAGGAGACAGTCAGGGCTGACTGGGACACCCCTGTCCCTGGCAGATGAGATCTGCGACTACTTTGGCGTGAAGATTGCCATGTACTTCGCCTGGCTGGGTTTCTACACATCGGCGATGGTGTACCCGGCGGTCTTCGGCTCTGTCCTGTACACATTCACAGAGGCTGATCAGGTGCCGGGTGTGGACTACACAGGGGCTGGGACACCCAAGACACCTTCCTCCCTGGACTGGGCCAGCCAACATTTCAGCCCTCCTCTGCCACCCCCAGACGAGCCGGGATGTATCCTGCGTGGTCTTTGCCCTCTTCAACGTAGTCTGGTCAACGCTCTTCTTGGAGGAGTGGAAACGGAGGGGAGCAGAGCTGGCCTACAAGTGGGGGACGCTGGACTCACCCGGGGAAGCTGTGGAGGAGCCACGGCCCCAGTTCAGGGTCAGTCAGGGGGGATCTGAGTTCAGGGACTTTGAGAATGGGGTTAAAAAAAAGAGAAAACACACTGGGCGAGGAGCATTGCAAGAACAAAGGGAGGGGTGAAGTAGGGCTGCAGCGTCCGAGATGGTGTGCCAAGTGGGGGACTCTCCATGCCCAAAGGGAGAGGGGTGGGAAATTGGCTTTGAGGGGCTGGGAAGGGTGCATTAGGCGGGGGCACCGCAGTAGCAGAGCATGACAAAGAGACACTGAGGTCGAAGGGTCGGGAAGGGTGCAGGGCAGAGGCAGCCCCTCTGATCTCACGCGGGGCCGGGCCCCCACCCTCTGCCAGGGCGTGCGGCGCATCAGCCCCGTGACTCGGGCCGAGGAGTTCTACTACCCGCCCTGGAAGCGGCTGCTTTTCCAGCTGCTTGTGAGTCTCCCCTTGTGCCTCACCTGCCTGGCCTGTGTGTTCCTGCTCATGCTCGGCTGCTTCCAGCTGCAGGTGACCTCCAGCCCCTAGCCCTGGCCTTGGCCCCGACCTGGCGGCCACCTGTCCGGGTGTGCCGTGAGCGGAGCCCAGCTGCCGGGGTGACCTGTGAACGCCCTGCCCCTGCAGGAGCTGGTGCTGAGTGTGAAGGGGCTGCCCCGTCTCGCCCGCTTCCTGCCCAAAGTCATGCTGGCCCTGCTGGTCAGTGCAAGCGCCGAGGGCTACAAGAAGCTGGCCGTCTGGCTCAACGACATGGGTATGCCCTGCGAGGGGAGGTCCCACTGCCCACCCCCCAGGAGGAAGGGCCCCGCCGCCCTGCGGGGTGTGCCTGCCACCCATTACGGTCTGGGCCACCCCCTCACTCGCCTCCTTGGCCCCCAGAGAACTACCGGCTGGAGAGCGCCTACGAGAAGCACCTCATCATCAAGGTTGTCCTGGTGAGTGGTGGCCAGCAGGCAGGCAGGGGTTCTGCAGGGGATACACGGGAGCTCCTGGGGACAGAGGTGGCAGGGTGACCGCCCACCTGCCTGCTTCCCACAGTTCCAATTCGTCAACTCATACCTGAGCCTCTTCTACATTGGCTTCTACCTCAAGGACATGGAGCGCCTGAAAGAGGTAAGACCCCGGCCTGAAGCAGTGCCCCCCATGGCAGCCAGTGGGGGGGCCAGACCTGGCCCAACGGGTCCATGGGCTCTCCAGCCCCTCCCCCCCTCCTCCATCCTTCTCTCCTCTCTGTCCGTCTGTGTGTCCTCTCTCTACCTGTCGCCCCTCCATCTGTATGTCCACCTGTCCGTCGGTCCCTCCACAGCTCCTGATCGTCCTGTCCCTGTCCCAGAGCCTCGAGCGGCAGCTTTGGGCGGTGCTGGTCCCGCTCGCGGCCCTGCGGTT